CCACCGATAAAGCTTAACACCAGGAAAGTTAGAACTACCATCGTATGAAATATATAGTTTAGATAAAATCTGGAAGTTTTGTCCTTGCTTTAAAAATATAATAATTGATTATATCCCAAAATAATTCTGTGCTCCAGCCAGAGTTGATTGAAGATTTAAAAAGTGACAGTAATAAATGAAATTGGGTTACCAGAGACAGGCTTCAGTCCTAAAGTTCCCCTTGTCCCAACTTCCTGTGTAAATGTTCTGACCAAGGCTTCCCAAGAGCATGAAGCAAACACCTTGTTCCAACAAAAACCCCTTTTATGAATTTCCTGTGAATTCTGCTCATTCACATCCAACCAAGTCTTTCAAGGGAGGATTTACAGTCACAGACCTTATCTGGCTTGGAAAGCTGCCAGGCCGATATCTGCAAAACTTGGCCAGGAGTCTCGGAGAGTCACAAACCCATTAAGCGAACGAATTGTCTCCTGCAAACTCCACTCTACTTTCGCTCCTCTTTTATTTTCTCTGGCCCCTCCCAGAGAAAATAAAAGAGGAGCGAAAGTAGAGTGGAGTTTGCAGGAGACAATTCGTTCGCTTAATGGGTTTGTGACTCTCCGAGACTCCTGGCCAAGTTTTGCAGATATCGGCCTGGCAGCTTTCCAAGCCAGATAAGGTCTGTGACTGTAAATCCTCCCTTGAAAGACCTTGTTGGATGTGAATGAGCAGAATTCACAGTAAATTAATAAAAGGGTTTTTTGTCGGGACAAGGAATTGCTTCATACTCTTGGGAAGCCTCGGTCAGAACAGGCAGTGGTAAACCACTCTGATATTTTTGTCAAAAAGACCTCAAGGCTTAATTGAAGAAAATGTTATCTACTAATATATATATATATATATATATTTCCATGGTGTATGGGTGTAGGGAACACCATCCAAAGTTCTGATTCACTACCTGATTCGTCACGTAAGTTGGTTTTTCTAGCAAAGATTCAGACCTACAACCACAATTGAGTGCAAAATTTCTGCTGCTAAGCGAGCTAGTTTAATGGGGTTTGCCCCTTTTTATGACCTTCTTGCCACAGTTGTTATGTGAATCACTACAGTTGTTCAATTAGTAACACGGTTATGAAATAACTCTGGCTTCCCATTAACTTTCAGAAGATTGCAAAATGTTGATCACATGACCCCAGGGCACTACAATTGTGATAAATATGATCCAGCTGCCAACTATTTGAATTTTGATCATGTCGTCATGGGGATACGGCAACAGTCAGGTGTGAAAAACGGCCATAAGTCACTTTTTTCAGTCCTTTTTTCAGTACCTGAGCAGTCACTATGCAAATGGTTATAAGTTGAGGATTACTTGTACATCGTTCTGATCCAGCCTTAGCAGAAACAAGAAACAGACTCCTTGTCATGAAAAAACCCTCTTTATTTATCTCCTGTGAATTAATGGCATTAACACTGAAAAGTCCAGGTAATAGTCCTTCAAAGAATTAATTGCAGTAACAGACCTTATCAGTTCCTTGCAATAATTGCCAGACCGTGAACTCCCAGCGGAAAGGCTACAAATTAAGTTCTGGCAAGCAGTCTCTGTGTCAGAAAACGCAATGAGAAAATCGCCAGAAATCCGAACTTGTCTCCTACAACAACCATTCCCCTTTCCTTCTATTTATT